CTTCCTTCCTTCCTTCCTTCCTTCCTTCCTTCCTTCCACACACACAGACACAAATTTGCAGATATTATACATGGCACAATCCTTTGGTCTCAGATTTTGATCGTGAAACCTCAGGGATCGGAAAGCTGCTGACTCGGCAACCGTACTTCCCAAGGGAAAAATCTCAGAGGGGTGGTTTTCCCAGAGACTTGATTAAAATTTATTTGGGGTCACTGAAGGCCAGATGAAATTGCTTCTGGGGAGCAGGACCCTGGTGTAGGATATAGAAATGAATTGTCTGCTGGGCCAGAAATAATAAAGAGAAAGCTTTCTGCCTGTCTGTTTGCCTGCCTGCCTACCAGCCTGAGAACCCTCCGTGCCCAGATGAGATGAAATGAAAAGGTGGAATCTCTCTATATTTAGATGAGGGCAGCACAGGCAGAACGAGTAATCCTCTTTCCCTGAATTACTGCACACGAGGGATTAGGCCCTCTAAACTCCTCACCAAGCCACCCCCGCTCCATAAGGCCACCACACAACAGAGCTGTGTCTGAGAACACAAAATATACCCTCAGTTTTGGAAGGAGGAGATCTTGTTCATGAAGACAGGAGATATATTTGGCTTTATGACAGGTGAGCCCGTGGACCTGACTTAAGCAATGGGGCCCCTAAAGATGAGTTACTTACAACAGATCCCCTCCATTGTTGCCTCCTGTAACAGTCTCCAGTTCTCCCAGTGACCATCTATTGTAGGGTGGCCACTACTTGCCCATTATCCAAAAAGAGGACAAAAGATGGGCATACAGTCAAGACGGACAACATACAGCTGCAGAATTAGCAAGTATTTTGATCATTTAACAAGAATTGCAATGCATATCACCCAGGGATGTTGGCAAATCTTTGGTCCCAAGTCTGAGTCCCTATTAAAAACAAATTATTTTCCCCAGAAAAAAAAGGAGAGGGTGGGTGGGTTCTGAGTTCATCATTCTCAAATGTCTTCAGCCATGTGAGATTACCCGAAAGTGTTGGCCATGTGTCCTACTTTATGGAGAACAGTCCTCTGTCTATGCAGCCTATTTGAGGAACGGAAACTATCTTCTCTTTGAATCACTGACTGGTCTGGGTTTTATTAAAAATTAAGGAACCAAGGACCTCCATTTTCCCCAGCAATAAATAAACGCATAGACAGCAGACCAAGCAGGTATCCAGGTTAAAGTGAGAGATCCTGTAATTCTATTTAGGTTATGGCAATTATTTTGATTAAATATATATATAGCAATTTTCTCAATTTACGGACTGTATATTTCTGCCCATAAATTGGCATTGGCTCATTTCAGTGTGCATCTGTGCTTTGAAACTTAAACAAGGAGATGTCATGCAGATCTGTGTCTTTGGTCCTCTTTTTGGGGAAGGGGGTATGAATTTCATCTTATTTGTTGCTGCATGAATGACCATTGCCGGCTGGAGTGAGTTAGGCACCTGGCTGTGGAGTCAAAGGTTGGGAGTTTGATTCCCCACTGTGCCTCCTGCGAGAAGAGACAGCCTATGCAGCCTGGGGAAAGCTGCATGGTTTCATACTGATCCCAGGAGAAGGGAATAGCAAACCATGTCCGAGTACCTATTCCTTAAAGTGTTGCCAAATCCTAGAATTGGCTTCATAGCATGACACAACTACTATTGTTATTAAATGACTATCAACCTTGTTCCCCTACAGTAGAAAACTAGTAGCACAAATTGTGTAGGGCTCCTTCTGGTGAAGAAAATGGAATTGTGATTTGCTGCACACTCATTATGAAAGTTCAGGTTCCTTTGAAGCCGGTTCTATCCAGGGTATCTTATGATGCTTCCAAGCTGTCTTTCCTTCTTGTTCCCTCTGCAGGAGCTCAACAGAGGCTATTTACGATGCTACTATCCATATGGTGGGGGGGGGAAAGAAGCATCTTTCTCAGTCATACCTGTGCGGTCAATGGCACACCTCATTGGATGACAGATGCACAGTAAAAGAGCAAAACCACATTCATAGCGACACTAAACTACATAATTTTCTTCAGCAGGATTTTGCCCAGCAAAAGAAATTGAGATTTTAGAATACTGAGTGTGAAATAGCAGGTTTGCAGCAGGCTTTGGAGGCTTAAAAGTCTGAGTCATGATAACGGCTTTCTCATCCGTATTAACACTGATTTAGGTTTGCCACCTCTTCTAACCTGACAGGCACCTCCTCCTTATCACCCTGATGGTAGGCATGGAGAGTTTCCTAAATACTCCATCTTGGGAGTAAGGTAAAGGTTCCCCTTGACATTTAGTCAGTTGTGTTCAACTCTAGAGGGTGGTGCTCATCCCCGTTTCCAAGCCGTGGAGCCAGCGTTTGTCCAAAGACAGTTTCCGTTGTCACATGGCCAGTGCGACTTAGACCCGGAACGCTGTTTACCTTCCCACCGAGATGGTACCTATTAATTTACTCGCATTTACATGCTTTCGAACTGGTAGGTTGGCGAGGAGCTGGGACAAGTGACGGGAGCTCACTCCGTCACGTGGATTCGATCTTACGACTGCTGGTCTTCTGACCCTGCAGCACAGGCTTCGAGGTTTAGCCCGCAGCGCCACCGCGTCCCCTATCTTGAGAGTATATGTACATATTAAATTCATCCAGGATGGCTGAGAATTTTGGGAGTAGATGTACGTATTAAATTCATCCAGGATGGCTGAGAATTTGTATTAAAATCTATGCATTTCCTGAAGGAAAGAATGTAAGATGGTAAGACAGTAGGAGCCTTTCTCCCCAAGGTCATCTTCCTGCACCACCAGATCCTCCCCAGACTATGCTCCTCTAGGTGGCTACACAATTTTTCACATCAGGTCTTCTTGGCAGTGGCACCATTTCTTTGGAATCGCCTCCTAGTGGAGACCTGGCTCTCTCCCTCCCTAATGTTAAGAGGCTGTTGAAGATGCATCTCTTTTTGAAAGAAGTCTGTCTGCATTTACTGAATCCTGCATTGCTGCTTTGATACAGTGCACCATCAGGGCTTATAGCCGGTTTGTATCTGTCGGCTGTGCATCTTGGGGTTTTAATATTTTATATTTTTTATTATTCTTTTGTCATGTTTTGTTCCTTTTATATGTACACTGTTGAGAATGGTTCTGTGCACTAATGGAGTGGCAGATGGATGGATGGATGGATGGATGGATGGATGGATGGATGGATGGATGGATGGATGGATGGATGGATGGATGGATGGATGGATGGATGGATGGATGGATGGATGGACAGACGGATGGATGGATGGATGGATGGATGGATAGGTGAATATTGGCAGATGAGTGTAAAGTGAAACTAACATGCCCCATTCATCCCTTTGTCTGTCTATCTAGCATGCAAGGAGGGGATTTAGCAGATGGTATCCGTGTCCCCCCAAATTGTACTGTGGCTTTTGCCAGGGACTCAGTCTTGTCCAGAGGTGGGGTGGGTGGAGTTTGGAGTGGTTCTCTGGCTTTATGGGACATTTTCTGCCAAACCCTTGTACTCAAGTTTCTCACATCAAGAGAAGCCACGTGGTAAAGGTGAGAGTTTCATCTAGGGGTGTGTGGAGAAAGTGTGCTAAATTATTTGTTTTGGAGAAGATAGGATATTTCTCCCCTCCACTGCAATAACAAGACAATGGGCACTTCTTTCTCTTGAGGTTTTTGCAATTTGCACCAAGCGCCTCGGTGCAAAATTATTTATTCTTCTTCTTTGTGAGGTAAAAGCATGTGCACACACAGAGACAGCACTGAAGGGCCGAAGGATTGATAAAAAAAGATGCAAACGATGCTTTAGATGTCGAAAGGTTCATGCTACAAAGGAGCCATTTACATGTGAGCTGCACAATCGGTGCAGTTTCCTCAAAAAATAGGCATGAAAACGTGAAAGCCCTTGTTAAATCCAGCAGGAAATAGATTGCCAGTTTGTGGGTGAGGAGAAGCTTGTTGGCATTTTGTCATTTCTATCACTAATCTTATTTAACATATTTTTACCCTTTCTCCCAAAAAAGGACCCAAGGTGGCTAATATAATTTTAAAAGACATTTTAAATCTAAAAACAGTGACCTGTTCAAATATTTAAAAAGTATTAAATGAACGTATTAAAAATGTTAGGAAAAGGTGTTATTAAAATAGATTTAAAAGCCACAAAAACGCATACCATCCCATTTTAAAACCCCTCTTAGTCAGCCACTAAGGAGAAGCCTGCCTGAAGAGAAAGGTCTTGGCCTGCTTGAGGAAGGACAGCAAAGATGGGGCCTGTCTGGCCTCCAGTGGGAGGGAGTTCCACTGTCTTGGAGCAGCAACAGAGAAGGCCCTCTCCTGCATCTTCACCACATCTATGAAGCTAGTAAGATGGAAAGAAAGCCCACTCCCACCCCCAATGTTAACAGGCTCATAAAGGGAGATGTGATCCTTGAGATAGCTTGGACTCAAGCTATTTAAGGTGCTCTTGGTTAAAATCAGCTCTTTGAGTGGTCCCTGACCATGGATTGGTAGCCAGTGGATCTGCTGTGACAGGGGGTGATGTGATCCCTGTAACCAGCCCCAATCAGCAATCCGGCTGCAGCATTTTGGACCTGCTGAAGTCTCCGAACACTTTCCAAAGGCAGCCCCACATAGAGCACATTACAGTAATCCAGCCGGGATGTAACTACAGCATGTGCGTGCAGTTTTCCCATGCAGTTTTTTTAAAAAACATGCTAGAATGGGAGAGGAGAAAAAGACAGGAGTGCCCGCTACACAGGCTCACACAAAGCCTTCCCTGTTTAATATTGACTATTATTTCTCTCCTCCCCTCTCTCCGGACCTTCCCTTCCCTTCCATGCTCCTGTGTGGAGCATCATCAATTTCCTGTATAACTCAAAGTCAACACATCTGTTATGTTCACAGTCTCTGCTGCCCGGCTCCCTCCCACCCCTCCCGTCTGTTCTGCCTGCAGCCTCCCTGTTCTCCCCTACAGCTTTGTTGGTGATGATGGTGTGTGTGTGTGTGTAGGGCTCTCTCTCTCTCTCTCTTATGCTAGCTGATGGACTCTCTCGCGGCTGATCTCTCTCCTTACCTGGATACATGTCCTCGGTGGGGGCTGATCTGCTTGGCTTGCCAGAGCACTGGCTCCTCCTAATCTCTCGTGGTGCCACAGCCTAGTGGCCAAGAGGCAAAAGCAGGAGAAGGGGCGAATGACTGGTGAACGAATAAACAAATTGTTGGGAGCTCGGGAATGAAACAAATACTACAACTGGTAAGGATTTTTGCTCTGTTTTCTTTCTTTCTTTCTTTCTTTCTTTCTTTCTTTCTTTCTTTCTTTCTTTCTTTCTTTCTTTCTTTCTTTCTTTCTTTCTTTCTTTCTTTCTTTCTTTCATATTTGGCCCTACTTCTTTGGCTGTCGAACCACAGTGCAGCACTGTGGGAGAGACCAGGTGAGGTCCACAATGCCCGGGACGAGAGAGGCACCGTGGGGTGATGGAGAGAAAGGGAGAGGAGAAATCGATGAAGTCCACAGACACTCTTTCGGCATCCTTTTAGGTCGCAAAGGAAAGGTTTTATCAGCACCCAGAGCTAATATTTTGGCAGAGATGTACTTGAGTTACACAGGAAAATTGCTTTGGAGTATATTTGGACTGCAGATGGGTGTGTTACTTATGTTTCCCTCCCCCCCATGCATGCTATGTCAGTGGATCGTTTGGAATCCTGCATCAGACTCCTCATCAGTTGTGTTTGTAATCTGGCGTCTTTAGCTAGTGGTTTCTAGCAAATCTCCTCTTCCAGATTGGCCTTAAAGAAAGGTCGGTAGCAAATATCAGCTGGGAAGGCGTGGGGTGCGCTAGCACCGTTTCAAGGGTGGGGTTTCTGTATGTGGGGTTTTGTGTGTTTTTTGAGTATGTGTGCTGTGAAAGTTTCTGTCATGTAGCCTGGTTTGTATTTTCAAAGACAAAGGAAAAGTGCAGGGCAACCTAGAGACTAAAAAGGAGAAAATGGCCAAGCAGAAATGGAAAACTAATAAAACTCCCAGCAGGCTGGACAAGGGAGAATCTTTGTATTTGCCCATAAATTCTTCAAACAATGAGCTGATCAAAATTGGGTTTTGCTTTTGAAAAAAAAAAAAAGATTATTGCAAGGAATCTTGGAACATAATTTTTCCCACTGCACTCAAGAGACTAACTTGGCGTTACAGAATGCAAAGGCAACTGGTTTGATCAACAAAGACCAAAATTAAAATTCCATATCAGGATGGGTATCTTGATTAGGCCAACTTAAAAAAAACTGTGCAGCCTCATAGCCTTTTTCTTAGGCATGGTGTGGCAAAAAGAGGGCGGGCAAGAGGGGTTAGCAGTGACACTGCTTTTTTTTAAAAAAAATTCAAAAGAAAATAGTCTGTTAAAATCTTTAAAAAAATGATCATCCTGAGTTTGGCAAGAGTATTCCAGTCAGAGCACCGCTAGGCAGAAGTCAAACAAGAAGCTACCAATTTCTTGGTTTGTCTCCTAAAATTGCGCTGTATGAGTTGGTTCTGTAAATTTTCCAACTCTGGACACGATCCACCAGCGATAACCTTTGGCCAAGGCCCATCAAAATGAAGGTGGCAGTGTGTGTGTGTGTGTGTGTGGGGGCTGCCTAACGAGTCACATATCCTGCCTCTTTATTTCACACAAGAAACTGCTAGAATGGTCATCTTCTTGGTTTTCCTATAAAAAGTCCACAAATCTAGTAGCTTGGGGAGAAACTAACTGCTAAAATAACTGTTTGTAAATATATGCCTGTTGTTGCCATGGAACACATCTACATCTGAATGAGGAGAATTTACTGAATGTTTAGAGGGTTATTTTTTTCCCCAGCTAGCTTTGCTAATTCAGGAGCGCCTTTCCTCACATCCTTCAAGGGTTATAGTACAGTTACATTAAAGCTTAATATGAAGACTTGTTTCCACCAAGCATCTGTGTTTTGCTAATCCTTTGAGAGCTTCCTTCAAATAGGGTTTTGGCTAATAGTCTTTGCAGCTCTATTGGGAGTTTGTGTCTGTGTGTATGTGTTTGTGTGTGGGGGGGGGGAAAGAAAGAAAGAGAGAAACAGTCTGAAATGCTTTACATGCAAGATAATTTATAAGGAGGGGAGGAGAAAGGGCAGAGGTATTTCATTGTTCCACTTCAGAGACAATAGCGTTACATTGATTACTGTATGTGCTTTCAAGGAAAAATAAGAACCCAAGACCCCCAAATATGAGTATTCCAAAGGACCCAAAAATAGAGGTAAATGTGCCATGTTTAATTATAAACTGATAAAGTTGCACCAATATTACTGTTGGTTTGCTCAAAAGTGCATGTTAAGGCATGGTGGGGGAAGCAACTGTATGTAATCATCTTTTCCCAGAAACTGTTTGATTTTAGTTTGGCTGTGTATTCATTCGCCTTGCAGATAAGTCAACAAAATTGTTGGTCCACAAAACCATTACTATGCCAGCCTGTCTGACCACACGTCTCTGTAGCCGATGAAGGCGTAGATGGGGAACGACCCGTATTTTGTTCAGCTTCTCTGCCTGATTTTCTAGACGAGATGAGCCCTTTGCCACTGGTGGGTGGCTCTTAATTTACAAACTTGCTCGGCCAGCACAAAGGCTCACCCCAGACCATAGAGGAGCTTGGCTGTCTCTGTCATCAGCATACCAGCATCTTGAAAGCACTACCTTTTCAGTGTGGTTGTTGTTGTTGTTTTTAAACTATTGTCTATCATCAGCAAATCCTCCAGATAATGACAGTAGATAAATTATGTACTGCGGCTTATTTCAAACAGCTGATTCACCTGCAGGTACCTATTGCTGAGGTGGTTAACAAAATTTAATGGACAGAAGAGAGAAGCCACCAAGACACTGCTGTCAACATTAGGATTGATTTCAGGATTATTACTACATATGGAGATTAGGGCTCTTTAGGGAGAGACCTTTTGCAGTATCCCTTTATGGGGAATACTCTCTCTCTTTTTGTCTATAATTACAGCATTTCAATCAGTACAGCTGCAGTCCTGTGCTAGGGACATTCTATATCTAGCGAGATCATCGGTTGGTATACCTCTATGCTGCTTTTTTGTGTGCTTTATTGGAATGGATAGATTGCTTTAAAGTATTCGAGTTGGTTTACGTGATCGTCAGGTGACTTCCTTGACTGCATCCCAGCCAGAGATCTGTTGGGATGGAATGGGTTAGAAAGACTTTACTAAATATAATATAATATAAACAAACAAGCAAATAAGCAAGCAAGTAAGCAAGCAAGCAAGCAAGCACGCACACTTCTCAGAAACAGACCCATTAAACATGGACAGTTTTGCCCTGTTAGGCACTCCCTGAGAGGCTGATGTTACGTCTGAGAGGCATCTGGTGATAGCAGCCTGAAGAGAGAACGAAATCCACCTTTATCTGAGCAAAAGGAGTGATTCGATCCAAATGAGGACATGGCTGCTGCATCTGTTACACTGACTGGCCTTCTCTCGTCTGCACAAGTCTTAAAGGTGCATGGATCCTGCTTCCCTGCTGCCTGTGGCGTGCATGAGTTCCAGCAGTGACTTATAACATACAGAGATTTATAGGCCAGCTCTGGAGAATCACAGAACTCCTTTCGTGCCAAAAGCTCAGATGTTTAAATCCGAGACAGATTGCTCAGGGCAGACTGGTTTTTAAAATAAGCCTCTGAATGAAGGTCGGCTCTCCTATCCCGCACCTTTGTCTTTGAATTGTTTCTGCACCCACAGACCTCCAGCCCAGCCTTTAAAGAGGCCTGAGTGGATGGGGAAGTCCAAATCAATTTTTCTAGAATGGCCTTTACGTTTTTTTACTTCTATCTGGCCTATTTTTAGGGTGGGCCGATGAAAAGAATTGATTCCCCGTATTTCCAATAGTTCCTGCACAGGAAAAAAAGAATTCAACAGGTCTAGTTTTCAATGCAATTTACACCTGCTGAAATGTCTCCCCTCCCCACAGCTCTTCAAGGTAGGGGGGGATTGTTTTCCTTTCCCTGCATCGTTTTAAAAGGGCCCATATTTTAAAACGGAAGGGCAGTGCAAGGAGACGACCATGTCGTGGGATGCGGTCCTATGATCCAGTGCAATTAAATGTGCAGAGACAGGAGGGGTGAGTATTGGCTTGCTCTGAGGCGAGGAATCCTGCTGGTTGCAATGGGTTATAGAAGACACCCGGAGGGCTTGATGGAATGATTATCATGTCTTTTTAGCATAGACTAATGAGGTTGCTTCTGTCTCAGGTTCGGGGTGTGTGTGGGGGGGGAATTAGGGGAACGAAACAGCTTTGCCTCTGAGCCTGTCTATACACAGACCACTTGCCTCTCAAGACGGAGCTGATATTTGGACAAAAGGGTGCTCAGGGCCGAGAGCGCGACCTGCGCCCGTTCAGGTTGGACTTCAACCTTTCCCAGGCTGAATTTCAAATATGGAGGACAGCGGGTTCCCCAAACCAACCAGGACGATGTTGAATAGAGAGGGCAGTAAAAAGGAGATAAACAGGCCAAGTGCCTTTAGAAAAGGAGGGAGAAGCTGAGCCGAGCTCCCTTCTCAGAATTTATCGCTGCCTCATTAAAGCCTGAGACAGCTGGTGGTTGGCAGAAGCATTGCCTGCCTGGTGTGGAGGAATAGCAAAACCTGCCCGCTTGCGACTTCTTCCCTCCTTCCCCATCTGCTTTGTATTCTGGTCCGGCTCTGCTCCTTGAACATATACACCCTTTTAAATGAAGGCTTTTTCTTTTGCGGTGCACCTTACGGGCATATAAAGATGTTTCATTCTCTCCCCTCCCCAGTTTACTCCTGGGACTGGACATTACCGCTGCAGCCTCAGCTGGTTCCATTCAGTATGGGAAAACTGCCTCTCGCGCGCGTGTGTGTGTGTGTGTGTGTGGGCCTCAGCTGGTTCCATTCAGTATCGGGAAAACTGCCTCTCTCTCTCTCTCTCGTGTGTGTATGTGAGTGTGTGTGTGTGTGTGTCTGTGTGAGAGAGAGAGAGAGAGAGAGAGAGAGAGATCCATAAGCAAGGCACACTCTGGACCTTTCACGCTTTCCTCATTGACAAGGATCTTTAAAGCAGTGTTTCTGAGCATAGTCAAAGCGTCTTTTCCTTCCTGAGCAGTCAATGCAGATCTGGGATTGTAAGGAAAATGCTTTCAGGACATCTTCCAGAATAAAACTTTAGGGTAATACTGGAAGACTTGAGCTATCTTGAGAGAGAACGGATTTTAATTCCTTGTT